TAATTAAATATAAAACGACATAGTTCTATATATCAGTAATATATTTATATATATATATATATATATATATATGTGTGTGTGTATGTAAGTATGTATACATATGTATTATTACGTATAAAATGACATATAATAACATATATATATATATATATATATATATCACATTTCAGGGAAAACAAAAAAATAAACATGATTCGACGGATATTCAATATGGTTGAATTGATAAGCGATTACTTCTTATACACGACAAACATTCTACCTGATGGCAGCCACCGGCTATGACTATAGACCAATACATGCAATATGTTTTCTGCACTGCAAAGTGAATATATATTTAATCTGGGTTTGTCGCCAAAGAACCTCCGTATGTCTCTCTACTAGTTAGTAGTAAAATGTTTACTATTTAGTAGTAAAGTGCCTACTATTTTTGTCTACTATTTAGTAGTAAAATATTTACTATTTAGTAGGAAAGTGCTTACTATTTATGTCTGCTATATAGTAGTAGTAAAGCGTATATTATTCATGACTACCATGTAGTAGTAAAGTGCCTACTATTAATGTTTACTTTTTAGTAGTTAAGTGTCTATTATTCAGTAGTTCTGCTATTCAGTAGTAAAGTGTCTGCTATTCAGTAGTAAAGTGTCTGCTATTCAGTAGCAAAGTGTCAAGTGTCTGCTATTGATGTCCACTAATTAGAAGTATTAATATTAAATTGTCGAGTGTTGGCAATTTCAAGTAGTAAAGTCTAAAGTGTCTACCATTTAGTAAAGTGTCTACCATCTATCATAGGGTTGTAAAGTGTCTACCATCTATCATAGGGTTGTAAAGTGTCTACCATCTATCATAGCATAAAAACTGTAAAGTGACTACCATCTGTCATAGTATGATACATCGTAGGAAAAATGTCTACTAATAAATATCTCAGAGTAGTATTGCCTAGAAGTGTCTACTATTTGTTCTTCCGGCATCGCCATCACTGAAAGTCTTCACCCACCTGGGCCTGCCGCCTGTGCCCTGTGAGGCTGTGAGTGTGGGGCTGTGGGCCACGGGCCACCCCCGGCCCCAAAATTAAATTTCTTTTCAGTGTCTTATGATATCAGTAAGAACTAATCAGAGTCAAGATCACGTGTACCAACGCTTCAGAAGAAAATATAAAGGTGATTTTTTAATGTGTAGCTCACTAGCTCTGAACTCCGAGTTCGCCAAAGAGTATTTATAAATGACATTCCTGTTGATGAGTCATGTATATATATTTAAACCCTATGTATACTACACACTCTAACCGCCAATTCGTTAAAAAGGGGTACAACACAATTTTTTTCATAAACGCTTATTTGTTCGAAATACAAAACGTTTATTCAAGCTAAAAGACTGGTAAGAAATTGACTTTATATATCTGTGCCTGAAACGGACACCCGAAGCTGAAGGTCAATTGTCAGAAATATTTAAGCCCCAGGGCTGCGAATGAGCATCCACAGTGACAACCATAGGGCGGCCAACACGATGTAAACGTTTAACGTTAAAACAAAATTATTCGAGTACATCTGTACATACGTTTCAACGCAAAACGTACTGGGGCTAGCACAGCTGCTGGCAAGTGGCACAGCCTGAGTGAGCCTACTCCAGGGATTTAGAGAATCAAGAACGACTGACCTCAGCTCGTTAAAACGTTCTTAAAAGACCATTTTGCGTTTGTGTCTGATTTTTTTTTCGGGATTTCAACTAGAAGGATGTCAGTTACTTTTTACGATAAAACGGCGTTGACGTTAAACGGTTACTGCATGGGGCAACCGAATTGACAGATGTCAGAGATCAGTCAGATAACTACACCGGCGAAAAAAAAACAAGAAATACCTCGAGATAGTTGGGCCCGTGGGGACATTCATACATTTTAAAAGTGTTCAAGTTCATATCCATATAACCGGTAGCCGTAAGGTTTCCTATTAAATGAGGATCACACATCCACCTAATAACGAATACGATAGCTACACACAAATAATTCAGCATGACCTCTACGTTCAATGAGAATGGCCTAGCTCGGAATGTGACTCTACTTACTTTTCTAAGTATGGGCCTAGCGTATTACCCTACTGCGCTGATAGCCATGGCGGTACTGACTATCAGTTGGTACGTCTGGGACAAGTATTTTGTGCTCCCATCATACGGAAGGCGATCATCCAATATAGTTTTGGGTAGGTTGTTATGTTTTCAACTGTTAGTAGTTCCAATTATATTGATGTGTTTCAGAACAGAATTAAGTACAGTGTGTAAATATATCCAGACATTCTGTTCTGCCGTTAAGTTTTAGGTCAATATAGCTTCTGGTATGTTATTTGCCTAAAGTATATGTAATTGTGGTTACCGATAGCGATGTGCAACAATAGTTTCAATATCTGTACAGAGTATGTACAAACGGTATTCCAAAACCTTATTTTTACGCATACTAATATGTACTAGTATGTACGTGTCACTGATATATATATAAGTAGTCACCAAGAGAATGTTGTTCATCCAATTATGAACTGATCACGATGATTATAGTTAATCCTTTTTAACATAGTGTACACTTTTTCAAATGTGTATCTGCTAAAGAATATATTTGATATATTTATATATATATATATGTATATATATATATATACATATATATATATATATATATATATATATATAATTATATATATATACACTAGTGCATGGTGTCTTCAGGGAACGTTCGTCATTACGTGTGCTATATCGATATTAATGTGGGGGTTAATAACACTTTTGTATATTGTTTTCAACACAGACATGGCATCTTTGGAAAACGTTGGTCGCCACTTAGACCGTTTTTCCAAAGATATGAGTGTCAAGGGCACCTGGAAGATACGACCGCATACCACCCATAGGATTTCCATCAGAGACGGCGTCACTATTCTCTACCATGTGCTGGTATGCTTTGTTTAATATGTATGATTTCATATATATATATATATATATATATATATATATATATATATATATATATATATATATATATATATATATATATATATATATATATATGTATATGTATATGTATGTATTTTGTTATTCTTATTGTTATTGTAATTGCCATTATTCTTTTTATTTCAGATGTACACTTGCACATATAACCATGTGCTGGTCTGCCATATATAAAGCTATATTTGTGCCTATGTATTGTATTATCTGGTATGTGAGTGCTTGGCATGTCCCAAGTACCGTTTGTCTCTACCATATCCTGTGATATTTAAGGCTGTTTGTGCATGTGCACGTGGATATGCTCGTGCACACATGCAATTGGTCCCTGTATTGCATATGCCTCTTGCCTTGTGGTATCACTACCATCCACCCTGTACTGGTAAGCTAAGCCTATATATGAACTTTCGTATATGCACTTATATATGCATATTTTCCCAGCGTATGATATTATAAATTGGCCGTCAAACCCCTTGGTCAAGCGCTGGTATGTATCACATCTGCACAAGTCTCGTTCTTAGAGTAGGTACTGGCTATTCTTCAAGCGTACTATATCACTACATCTCATGGCCCAGCTGTACTATGTGTGCTCATCTTTCATCGCTTCAAGTGCGATAGGATGCCCCATACTTTATCATATATATTTGCATATGTAGTACATGTATGTACTCATATATATATATATATATATATATATATATATATATATAGTATAGGTATGTACTAATCTCAATCCCTATGCTCGTCAGGCACCAAACGACCCGAAATTACGCAACAAGAAGGTGATGCTGTTCTGCTCTGGGTTAGGCGTTCATGGTTTCCATGCCTTCACTCCGTTGATACACTTTTACGGCCCGGAATGGACCTACATAGCCTGGGACTATCGGTGTGTGGCGCATACTTATCCTCTACCAGTGCATGAAACTTGTAGAGATTACTTGGCTGTGCATCCCATAGCAACCTGTGTTAGACGCACATGCGGTAGTTAGGCACCATGTGTTCACGAGTATGTCCTGCTCTACTACACTGGTGGCTAGTTTTCATATCCAGGTGGCGTGTGCCTCTTTACAACAGATGCAATGGACCTACATCTGACACGTGAGCTCACTGACCCACACCTAGGCACAACCAAGCTTCTCTGTGAGATGTGGGTGTTATATCATGTGTGCATTACGCGTCCCGTCGCGAGGGTGTGTGTGGCATTGTGCATACACTGATGCAAGCGTATGCCTATCATTCACTGGCAGAGGATTGTTCGGCTCATCCGTGCCTGAGAACCCCAGACATCTGGCCATCCACGAACACTCCAAGGACGCCAAGGAGATACTGCAACATATGGGCATTGGCAAAGTGGACGTCTGTGTGGCCCATAGTATGGGTGTGCAGGTGGCTCTCGAGTTTGCTCTGTTATATCCAGGTAGGTTCATGGACATCTGGCTGTGTGCGTGTATAGATAGTCTAGTTAAAAGATGCACTACAGTGCATGGACAATAGTCGTCTGGATGTGCGTGTGGCGTATACTTTGGGTGTGTAGGTTGCCATGGAAACGGCACTGTTCTATCTGGGGATGGCATCTCTGTGCTCGACATTCATACTACATACAATAGTCGGATGATATACGTGACGACTAATGAGGCACTCCAGCACAAAGGCATTGGTATAGTGGCCCTGTGCCTGGCCCATGGTATGAGCGTGCTTGTCTCATAGAAACTGCACTGTTCCAGCCACGTGAGGTGTGTCAATCGCTCCACCGCCTTTTTCGCTGGTAGGTGGTAGTTAGGCACTATCGCACTTGCTTAATAGTAGTATAGTGTAGGCCCAGTCTTTTGCCAGGCCGTACGTTCTATACACCTTATTACGGATAAATGGAACACACACACTATAGCCATACACAGCATGCAGTCAGAAATTCGTAACCATGGCAACCCACGTTTAACAAGCACATTTCGACTCATTCTGGTGCCGAACTTCACCCTGCGCAGAGGTGCCGCGCAGTCTGGTAATGATCAATGGTACACACGGCAAAGCATTCCACACGGGAGGACAGCCGTTCTTCCGACTACCACTGATGGGCGATATAGTGTACCATCTCATGACCTTTTGGGTGCAACGCCCACACTATATTGAGATGTACATCAAGCAGAGTATGTTCATCATACTGGAGTGGGTATGAAGTATGTGGGTTGCAGTGGGAGTGTATATTAAAACGTTGTATGTATATGAGTATGTATCAAGTATGTTGGTTATAGCGTGAGTGTATATTATGAATATATATATATATATATATATCTATCTATCTATCTATATATATATTATATATATATATAATATATATTATATATATATATATATATATATATATAAAATATATTTATATATATATATGCCAAGTAAAGTTTGCTGTATTCTTCATGTATTCTGAGAATCGTGTGTTCTTAGCACATACTTCTATGAACATAATAAAATCATGTGTTCAACTTGTTTTCTCTTCACTATTCTTTTACCATTTGACTGATTTACGCCCGTTCTTGAATATAATAGTTCGGTACATCGCCCTGTCCCTGGCCCGCATCTACGGCTATCTCTTCGGCAACAAGTATCTCAAGGAGATCATGGGCAGCCACTACATGGAGGACTTTGTGCAGTGTTATCTGTACGATGCCAATGCGGGCACTATTCAGGCATTCTTCCGGACGTTCTTGGAGCTGGACGCTCATAGTGTGTACCATCTCCTGAGTGAGGTCAAGCAGCCTACACTGGTAATCTCAGGGCTGTTGGATGTGATGATCCCGGCGTATTGTGGGTCAGAAATGGCAGCGCAGATCCCCACTAGCAAGTTTGTATTGGGTATGTCTTTTATTTTGTTGAGGTTACTTGGGCTCGTTAACGGGTGATAGGGTGTATCTGAATGAAAGGAGTGAAAGGAATGTTCTTATTGGTATATGTATGAGCTAGCGTCTATGTAGCTTCCATGGCCACCTGGCAGCGCGTGCGTCTGTTGGCCAGAAGATATGGACAGCTGTTATTGCCGATTTGCACAAGTACGATAGACATCTTTGCTAAACCTGTACTGTACATTGCTTGCGGACGTGATGCCAATACAATCCGATAGTAGAATACTAAGATTAGTGGTATAAGCCCTGTAAAATATATGGCAAAGGTCCTGTAACATAAATCGTAAAAGAATGTAATATATATGGGAAAGGTCTATATACATGGTAAAGGGTCTGTGACATATATAATCAAGGTATTGTACTGTTTATGGGAAAGGTACTGTAGTATGTATCGTAAAGGGCTTGTGATATATATGGTAAAGATAATTTAAAATATGTATATTAAAAGTATGGTAATGTATATAGTACAGGTAGTGTAGTATATTTTTATTAAGGGTAGTGTAATATATATGGTAATGCTTAATACATATCGTACAATTCTTGTAATACATAGTGGGGTTCCTATAGTATATACAGATGCACTACGATTCCCACACAAAAGAACATGACAGTTGCCATGCCTTCTATTTCTGGGCAATGTCAAGTTTCCCATATATATAATATTACACAAATAGGTCAAATAGTCCCAAGATGCTAATAAACTTTATGCTATCATAATTGCACAGATTGGTGGTCGGCGCATCTCACATTGTTGGAGAACCCGTGGCTGGTAGTGGCTAGCACAGCTAAGTTCTTAGACCAACACAACATCGCACACGAGACGAGGCGACTATCCAACCACGATTTATAACCAGAGACGCTTGAGCCGGTAGATACCCTGTACTCTAACGAGTCATGAAAGCCGTAGGTGATGTGCAAACGTATATGCTGTCGTGTGCGTTGAGTACCGAGTGCACGTTTCATACGTCTAAGGAAGGAAGGTGTACGGATGCAACACCTTCCTGCGTGGGATGTTCGCGGTAAACCCCAAAAGAAAGTATTCGGCTCATTTGTACTACTGACTTAAAGTCTTGGACCGATTCGCTGTACTTGACTTATGTATCAGCTTCCTGTGTCGGATATTCACGGCAATACAGAAGTATGCGACACGTTTTTACGACCATCTGGGTCAGACTGGATGGGCCCGTTTATTCGTCGTATAGCACTGTCCAATGACGATGTGTATACAAACCTCCATGTGGTACATACACGAACACGCGTGCCACCGCTGTAGTACTTAGTACTTCAAGAGGGTCTCAGTCACTGTGGTAGTATCCAAAGACAGCGCTGTGTATCTAGAACGATCTGGTCGGGCTATGTTTAGAAAGCATTCGCGCACAGGCGCACAGGAAGCCTCAGCCCATTCGGATCTATCGGAAGCAGAGACATACATATATATATATATATAGATGCGTTAGCTGCCTTCCTCCACGAATAAAACTAGCCATGCCGTGTCAGGGCCTGGAGGCTTGTAGGTTATGTAGGTTGACCTTAGTGCGGAACAAACATAGCCTTGATGTGTTTGGAAGGGTTATACCACACACTCTCGGGCTCGGCGAACAAGACCTCTTGCACAAATAGGGGCCGCGCTTCTCCGATTAAGAATCGGTTTATACACATTAGAGTTGGACTGCTTTGAAGGAGCCAATAGTCTGATCATAGATCATTCCGGAAGCAACTGGTGATGGCAAGTGAGCTTGAATGGTGACAGAAGAATGTGTATTAAAATAAATAAAATCTCTGGACTATGAATGGTGTAAAAAAAAAAGTGGCCTAAAATATTGCCAATACCTCATGTGGGGTATAAACACCGCCGGGTTGAGGAGCATATATGGGCGATCTTGGTTCATATTCATGTACAAAAAGTACCAGGAGGTTTTTTGTATGCTCACCTACTACATCTCACATCTCTATACAGTATTCAGTATAAATACTATACGAAATTGGTATAGTCAATCAGGTATATTTGATTACACCGTTGTACTTGTGCTCCGCTCAAGCAGAATGCACTGGTCCTAATATTTCAAACCAAACACACGCGACGTATCACACGGATCTACACTGACCATACACGAGCACTACTTTCAGTTATGTTGTTAGTATAAAAATAATTTCGTTGATTTTATTCAGCAAGAGTGCGCGGCAGCCTGTAATTCACATATTGCCTCCCCTGACTGATCTTGATAAATCTTAGAACGGATTCCAAGAGTAGCTGCTCTTGAGCCGCCGTAATTTACTAGCCTCTCAGAAAAGTTCACGTTTTGATGAGTGATCCCCGCCCGTTAGGCTATATAGTATATGTATCGCTACAGTGACTACACTATGACCTTTGATCGTCACACACACTATATATATATATATATATATATATATATGCTGTATATTATATATATATATATATATATATATATATATATATATATATATATATATATATATATATATATATGTGTGTGTGTGTGTATTATATATATATATATATATATATATATATATATATATATATATATATATATATATAGTATACGACG